TGTGTGTGTGTGTGTGAGCGTCCGTCCTCCTGCACCACTGCATGAATAACTCGTGTTGTGTTGTGTTGTGTTGTGTTGTGTGTGTGTGTGTGTTCGGGGGTCAGACCACATCGCTCTGATTATGGAGTTACTGGGAAAAATCCCCCGCAAGATCATCGCAGCTGGAAAATACAGCCGTGAGTTCTTCTCAAAGAAAGGTAACACTCGCAGTCTGGCGTCTGGCTCTGCCGTTGAGGAGCTTTCATTCACTTTGTCAAATGGTTTGGCTCCGAGGTCTGCTTTCTTCCGTTCTGTCATCAGATACAATAGAATAAATGATACCGGATTGGCCGATTTAGATCACTCAAATATATCGCACAATTAGGGCTGTCACAATTAGGACTGCAAAACGATTAATCGTGATTAATCGCATTCAAAATAAAAGTTTGTTTACATACTATGTGTGTGTACTGCGCATATTTATTATGTATACTGTATATAAATACACACACCTGTATGTATGTATATACTATATATGTGTGTGTGTGTAAAAATATTTGTATGTATATATATTTGTACTTGTATATAATATAAATATTTTATAGGGCTGCCCCCTAATAGTCGACTAACTGTTAGTCAACCAGAAGAGACTTGGTAGACCAAAATTTAATTAGTCCCTTAGTCGCAGAAAAAAATTCCACAGGAAGTGGTGAAGTCATGCAGTCCGTGACGGACAGATAGTTAACGGCTGGTCGATGTTGTAATACAGTCGGGCAGGACATCCAAACGCTCGCCTATCATTCATTGAGCTCAAATATGGCTTTTCATCTGAAAGATGTATGTAGTAGTAGCAACTTTACATGGCCGCTCAATCTAATGTTAAGCTAGTGCTCTATTCCAGTGATTGTGCGGAGTGTGGAAGCTGAACAGTAGCATGATGGAGGCGCCGGTGCGCTCACCTGCTCTTAAAATACTCTCTCATTTCTGTTCACAAAGATAAGAGTAATAATGCTTCAAATGAACGACTACTAGTCGACCAGAAAAATCTTTAGTCGAGGGCAGCCCTAATATTTTATATATAAATCTAACATATTTTTCCTTAATATATACTGTATGTGTGTTTTTATATATACATAATAAATATACACAGTACACACACATATAGTATGTAAACAAACTTTTATTTTGAATGTGATTTTGCAGCCCTAGTCACAATCACTGACACGTTTAAGCCACAGAAACACGACTGATATCATCCAGTCACCATTCTCTGTGATTCATTCTCCCTCTTTAGCTGGTTCTTTAGGTCAGTAACATGAACGACTAATGAGCATCTGTGAGAATCTCCCGCCATTATTGGAGAGTAAACTGTAATCGCTGCTAGCGATGAGCTAACAGCACTGAAAGTGACTACAGCGGCGCTTAGCTAACTGGTTATATTTTGAGGCACTGGGCCTCCCTCTGACACAACGTTCATGGAGTCATTTCCAATGCTCAGTCTGACCTGATACAAGTGATCACAATTCCCAGCAGTTTTTGATTGTTTACTTTACACAAGTAAACAATCAGTAACTCAAAGTGAATTACAAGCAGTAATAGTGTGGGCGGGTCTTGCATTAAACAGTAATAGTGTGTCTTGCATTAATAATGTGGGCGGGTCTTACAGTGATCGTGTGGGTGGGTCTTACATTAATAATGTGGGTTAGTCATACAGTAATAATGTGGGTGGGTCTTACAGTGATCGTGTGGGTGGGTCTTACATTAATAATGTGGGT